AGCACAGACTGAACATCCAGACTAGAATATCATTCGAGGGCTCCAAACCAGCTTTCAAAATTCTGTTCTTTGATCCCAATCTTTTTCTCTAAATTCTTCTATATATTTAAATGGAGATTTACAGCATGTACTATCTATTCATCCGTGTTTCCTTCAGATGCTTCATGTAAAATCTGTTTTATTCCATTCTGTATCACTGAAATATTTAAGAACTAAAATCACCATGGAAAACCAAATTCTATAGTATTTCAAAAGTGTCTCACATCAGGAAATGAACGAAGTAGTGTGGTATAACTTGTAAACTATTTATCTATATCTAGGGTTAGCCATTGTTTTTCTCCACTTTTAGGAGAAAATGAACAATTTTTAAAAGGAGAGAATTAAAAAAAAAACCTTTGTTTTAACATGAAGAAAGTAAGATTTTGATTGTTTTTTAAAATATATAATTGTTGCTGCTTCTCCAAGTGATTGCCTATATGGATTCCACTGTTCATGTGCATCTGCCCTATGCATGTGAGATCGCATTATTTTGGCCTCGAGTGTCTGTTGGGGCCAAACCTGTGCCTTTCGAGTTCTTGTGCTCCTTATTTGAGGGCATAAAGGGAGGAGTGGCCCAACTGTCCCTCAGTCCTTTCTTACTGCCCGGGGCAGTGAGATGAAACTCCTGCAGTGTCTGCCTGCTTCTTCGGGCACCGAGAGTATTCGAGTTAGTTATTAGTATTATTAATTAGCTAGTTGTTAAGTACTATATGTTAGTCTTTTTGTTATTTGGTACAAAAAAACCCACACTTTTTTAGTCAGCCGATTAGCTTTTAGGCTAAACCCCTCCTTGTATATAGCAGAAGTGGAATCGCTTGTGTTCAAAAGCTACTCATCATGGGAAGTTTCAATGCTGTTTAATGATGGGCATTGCAGATATCACTTGTATAGGAGCGGTATGTATTCCTGAGTGATGGTCCATATGTTGTTCCTTCTCTAAGCAGACTCAAAAAGCTAGAGAGGCTGTCCTAAAATTGTTCTTCCTGGAGCAACCTCTGCAAGCCTCTGAGGACACTGAAAGAAAAGGATGTGGCTAGACCTAGGTTCTCCAGTCAGTTTCTTCCCATGAGCATCCCAGTGAGCTGAGAACGCACCCCAAGCTCCCATGCTATGTCAGTGAAGTGGCCCCAGTCATCCACCAATACTCCGGTGTCAATGATCTCAGGAGAGGGGTAGGAAGGAGCACTGCTCCAGAGATGCTAAGGCATACACCACCCTTTCTGATGCCTATCCAGTTGAGAAACAAGAGTCAGAGGTGTCTGATTCATCTTGGACTCAGCAGTTGAAGGGCCACTAATGGCCTGACAAAAGTCCTTTTGATGCCTTGGTACCAACTCTTAAGAGAGAGCGACCAGTACCCACCAAACCTGTGGACTATGTTTCTCTTAGTACCAGCCCTTCAGGACCCATGCTCTCAGTACCTGGCACTATGGAACCAGCCACCTCAGAATCGTGTTCTTTAGTGCTCAGCATACGAGTGTTTTTGGTAGCCAGGGCTTATACAGTACTGAGTGATTTAACTGTGGGGCCAGTAATAGTGTCACCTCTCCTTGACAGGTTGAAGATGTTGATAGCTAAACCACCTGTTATCAAGTTGTTGGTACAGCAGACAACAAAGGAGGTATCTCTGCTACTACCTGGTTAGGGAGGAGGATCTAACAGGGCAAGGGCACTCCTGACAGGAACGGCCCACTTTGGAGAAGTGACTCCCTGATGTGTGCAGACAGGGATGAGGAGTACATTGCCTATACACCCTCTGCATCCCCACCTTTGGTTAGATCTCTCTCCTTAAAAAGGCAGTATAGACCAACCCAACATGTCAGCCAGTGCAGCCTTCGCTTCTGGAAAGGCAGTAGAGAGAAGGTGATGAGGAGCAAAAAGAAGAACAAATTGTCCCTGTTGCAATGTCCTCGTCCTTGCACAATGACACAGTAGCCTTCCTCAGTTGATGCCTTCAAGGCATTCCTGGCCTCAAAGCCTTCCTCAGTTGATGACTTCAGGCATTCAGGACCGTGTGAAGCATATGGCAGAAATTCTGCATATACTGATGGAAGTGGTGCAGGAGACACCTCACAACTCCTGATATCATGCATCCTTTCATGTCTGGCAAGCTTGCCATGCTGATAAATGAGGAATTGTAGGAACCTGCAAAAGACCTGTGGCACAATGGTAACTTCTATACTGGACACATCCAAATGAGTTGAGAGGAGATATCAAGCATCTTCCAAGGGATTTGAGTATTTTTATTCCCACCTAGTACCAGGATTGCTTGTAGTTGTTACTGTCCAAGAGCGGTTGAAGAAGCAGGGGCCTTCCAAATCTATCTCCAGGAAAAAATACCTGAAGAAACTAATTTTATTTTGATACGCAGTCTACTCATCTGACAGCATCCAAATGTGTGTGGCGAACTACCATGATATCTGAATTGGGTCAACCTACCACAGGAGCATTGAGAGGAACTAAAAACCATAATGACTGAAGGACAACTCAAAGCCCACATTTCCCTTCCAGTTGTGCTGGACATGCCCAGCACAGTGGCTTCTACTACATCCACATCTGTGGTAATGAGATCTTCCTGGCTTCAGGGAGATCCAAACCACAATTGAGGACATTTCCTTTTGAGGATTCCAGGGTGATTCTTCATTCTGTGGGCCTCTGCATTCCAGCCCCAAGAAGGCAGAAAAGCTTTAATCAGGCAGCATCCCTCTGCCCAGTCCTATTATCAGCTTCACAAGACCTCAGTGGTGCTGAGACAGAAAGCTGAGGCTCTGTAGCTGATGACCCACTGTCTCTTCCTCCACTGTTGCCCAATCTGCATCTTCCTCCAGGCAGCAGGTTTGATTCTGGTGTTGAAAGCTTGACAGAACCTCTCAGAGATCCCTTGCCTTTAACATTTTTTAGTTTTGGGAAGCCTTGACAGCAACGGGTAGTCTATCCAATTTTAGTCCCTTCCCATTCCCTACCTTCCTTGCCTATTCCAAGACTAAAGTGCGTCTCTCTACCTTCAAGAAGCCTATTTTCACATATCCGTTCATCCTGCCCATAGGAAATACCTCAGATTCTTAGCAGAACCCTTTCACTATCATTATAAGGTCCTGCCTTTTGGTTTTTCCATAGCACCAAGGATATTCACCAAGTTATTAGAAGTCATTGTGACTCATTTAAGGAGACAGGTTTACCCATATCTCGACGACTGGCTCATTGGAGGAAGATCACTTCAGCAGGTCATCAACTTGATTCAAGTGACTTAAAGCTCTTTGCCACACGTGGTCCTCAGAGTCAGAGAAAAACTCACACTTGCTCTGAGTCAAAGCATAAAGTTCATAGGAGCTGTTAAATTCCAGATCAATGAGAGTTTATTTTCCATAAGAAAGATTCCAAACTATAGTGAACCTTATCAACCAACTTCAACTCCACCCAAAGACATGAGTAAGGCTATGTCTCAGATTTATGGGACACATGGCCTCATGCACCTGTATGTGATGCAGTTTGCCAGTATTCATCTGTGCTCCATACAAGGGTGGTTGAAATCAAAGTACCTACCCAGCAGGCACCATGTGGACATGGTGGCCACTGTCCCACCAGAAGGCCTCTTCTCATTTAAACTGGTGGAAAGACCCTCTTCAGGTGTGCAATGGAGTGCCCTTCTCTGTATTTCTGTCAGCCAAGAAACTGGTAACAGATGCCTCCACTTATGGGTGGATAATTTAGGTCACTTTCAGACTGAGGACAAGTGGTCCCCTCCTCAGGGTTGTCTGCATATAAATGTCCTGGAACTCTGAGAAGTCTATTTGGCATGTAAAACATTTCTGTCTTTACTCTTGGGATCCACAAGCCAGGTACTGATAGAAACACCACAGCTATGCAGTATATCAACAGACAGGGAGGAACGAGGTCACCTTCACTCTGTCAAGAGGCCATTTAGCTCTGGCCTTGGTGTATTCATTACCAGATCATGTTGCTGGCCTACTATCTTCAAAGCATTCAGAAGTTACTAGCAGATCACCTGAACAAACAGTTCTCAGACAGCTATGAGTGATTGACCAAAGAGCCAGTATTGCACAGCCATCTTTTGCAAGTGGAGATACCAATCAATAGACCTATTTGCCACAGGTCAGAACAAAAACTAAGTGTTCTGCTCCAGAGGGGGATTCAGTCCAATCTCTGCAGATGCCGTTCTTATTCCCTGGAAACTGGGATTGATGTATGCCTTCTCCCCAAATTCCCATGATACCAAGGGTCCTGAGGAAACTGAGGCAAGATGTTAGGTCAGTGATCATGATAACTCTGGCATTGGCCAGGCAGTTCTGGTATTTGGATATGGTGAACTTCTCAATGCAGCCCCTGGTCATTTTGCCTGCTCTGCCTGACATAGTCTCACAGAACAACAGACAGATTCATTGTTACGTTTGCCAGCCTGGTTGCTGAATGTCTGACATCCACCAAAAGATGATGTTCAGCTGAAATTTCAAAGCATTCTGCTCCGAAATAGGAAAGCTACAATTTGAGTGACTTTTATAAAAGTAAATGAAAGAGGTTTTCTTTTGGGACCTGTCAGCACACCATCTGACATGCCCAATCACTTAGAGAAGAAAAAGTGGCTACTTATGTTACATTAACAGGGGCTCTTTGAGATGTGTTGTCCAAAAGGATTTTATAATGGTGCCTCTTTCCCTGCTATTGTGGAATCCTACTCTGGATTCTGTATTGGTGAAGGAACTGTGAGGACACCTATGGTGCAGACACGACCCCAGTGGATAATGCTGACCAAAAGAATCTGATCTTGCATGTGTGAACTGTATGTGCCCCAAGAATTAAATTGATGTATACAACACATGTCAAGGAACTGCAGTTACTGTAAAGTAACTAACTGTTCTTTTTCCATTTTTGGTATTTAATTTTTGTGTAGTTCTCTTGTTGCTAATATTGTTTTTTTATTAACTTTTACATATGTTTTCCAGGTAGAGGATTTAAACAATAAAACATTGGCTCAAGAAAATGAGAACAAAAGTTTATTAGATGCTTGTTCTGAAGTGATTAAAGTGATGGAAGATTTAGTAAGTTTTTTTATTGTTTTCATTAATTATAAGTGAAAGTCTTTGTACATTGTGTTAGCTTTAAATGATCTTCAAACCTACTCTGTCTTAATGTTTCTTAGAAAACTAGCTGGGAATCTGAACATTTGACTATGAAACAAACGCTCCTCAATACCCTTCAAGCAGTGGATGAATTGGAACGTGAAAATAAAGAACTTGAGAGAGAAAATGAAGAATATGTGCAAAAATCCAGAGAAAGGTAATTCAAACTCTGTAAAATACCTGCAATATAAACAGAAAAGTCAAAGATCTGGAGGAAAATAAGAAGCAGCATTTTAAATGAGCATCGGTCAATTGTTTCCATTTTAAATCTTTCTGAATTAATATTTCAATAATTTTACATCACGTCAGGTTGAAATCTTGTACTTAAATTGTTGGTGTTCTGTAATCTTATTCTCATGCCCCCACCCTCCCACACAAACAAACAAACAAACAACAGTCACACACATGGGTTCTAGAGTTTGGCAATTTGAAAAACAAAAAATATAAATATTCTTATATTATCTCTAGATTAAAAGCACCTTCATTCCCAATTATACTTTAAAACTTTCTTCTGTGAATATGCAGAAGGTCAGTGACTGCACGGGAGGGACCTGTCTCCCAGAAAAAGGGTGAAGAAGGAGTCAGAGAACACTTCTTTTTGAGGCTCCCTTTGTAGGAGAAGTGGTAGCTCTCTCCCAGAAAAAGGGTGAAGAAGAGAGCTACCACTTCTCCCCCAAAGGGAGCCTCGAAAAATAAGTTCTCCAACTCTTTCCACATCCTCAATATTGACCATGCTGCAGCTAAGTACCTACGAGTCATCAGGATCTTCCATTACCGCTAAAGCCCAATAACCTAAGCAGGCAGGCGCACAGAAGGATAGCAGAGACAAGACTACCCTTCTACCACGGCACTGACTGAGGCAGCTAAACACTTGGTACCAAGCACCTCCACAGCACCTCAGCTTATAGTGCCATCCTCTGGCTCTCTGGTGCATAATGCTGAGACAGCGGTACCTAAGTCTACTTTACCTCCTTCGGTACAGACATCCTCGGCACCAATCCTCCCAGCACCGCAACAATTCTGGTACCACAACAATTACTGCCGATGCCATTTTCAGTACTGGGATCTCTTGGAATGCATCAGTTTCTCCGACATAAGGACTTAGTAGTTTGTGCAGCACCGGAATCACCTCTTCTCGGTAGTGATATAGCATCGGCACATTCAGCACTATTACACATGCCAATAAACATATCTGCCTCTCCTTTTTCTAGTGAGGAGGAGGACAATGAGGAAGAAGATGTTTATTCTTCACACCACTCTTCACCCAGCTAGGGAATCATCAGACCAGATCTGCAAAAACAGCCAGGACATTGTTGCAGGGCTGGCACCCAGAGGTGGTGTGGACATCCATGGATGCCACCACCAATGCCATTCCTACCATAGTGGCCATATTGGGACCTATGGATGGTATATAGGCAACATTATTCCAAACCTCCCAGCACCTCAAGGGAAAGACAGAGACGTTCCCCATCAGTGTCAGAGATGGGATCCCGTGAGTTCCCCGAGGAGACTTTTTGAGGAAATAGAGGAGGCTGTAGAGCAGGAGGTCACTCCTGCAACTAACACCTCCTCCTCTCCAGACAAGACCATCATGCCTCCGCCACCTACAACAGGAGATGCTTTTAAACAATTTCAGGAGCTGTTTAAATGAATCGTAGACACTCTCCAAATCCCTCTGGAAGAAGTTGCTGAGTCCCAACACAAGTTGTTGGACATATTACACACATCAGCCTCCTCCAGAATTGCCTTTCCCATTAATGAGGCATTCATGGATCCCGCCAACACCATCTGGCAGACCCCCACAATAATCCTCCCAATTTGTAAAAGGGCCGATAAGAAGTATTACATCCCATCAAAGGGTCTAGAATTTCTATTTTCACACCCCCAGCCAAACTCATTGGTGATAAAGATGGTCAATGAATGGGTTAGACAACACCGTTCGAGGACCACCCTGTATGATAAAGGAAAAGATTGGATCTTTTTGGTAATAAGGCCTATTCGTCAGTGACATTGCAGTTCAGAATAGCCCACTATGAAGCTTTGATGGCGAAATAGACTCTCGCAAATTACTCCAAACTTTCTGAATGTATTAACTTAATTCCTGAAGATAAAAGGGAGCAATTTAGGTCAGTCATCTCCTGGCAAGAATAGCTTTGCAGGCATCCTTAGACTCAGCAGACATGGCGGTGCAAGATCCATCACAACTGCCATAGTGATGCGACATGCCTCCCCTTTGAAGGTCCAAAATTATTTGCAGGTAAGACCAAGTCCCTGCATACATTGAAAGACTCTAGAGCGACTCTTTGGTCTTTAGACATGTACACACCTGCACAGAAACAAAAATAAGGCAGATATTATTCATCACAGTGCTCAAGACCAGCACCTTACATACAGTCACAGAGGCAGTATGATATCCAGAGATGGAGGCGAAGACAGACATAGGCCATTCGAATCTCAAACTTCTACATCGCGACAGTGTGGATCAAAACATCAAATTTGAGGGTTTGGTTGAAGTCCCAAGAGACTCCCCCAATTCCAGTTGCTGAAATCACTTTCTAACAGCCATCCCTTTACAGATCATTTGACACCATTCTACCCAGCATGGCAAATTATTGCTTTCGACAAATGGGTGCTGGAAATTGTCACCACCGGTTATTCCAGGCAGTTCACCTCCATTCCCCCCACCTACCCTCCCTCCCCATCCTTCTTCAGGGACCCCTCTCACAAGCACCTTCTGAGACAGGAAGTAGACCATCTCCTACAATCGGGTCTTTCACTGAGCTCACTCAGAGTACACCTTGCAGCTATCACAACCTTCCACCATAAAGTGGATGGGTTTTCAGTCTTTACCCATCCATTTACAAAACAGTTCTTACGAGGTGTCTGGAGCCTCTATTCTGAACTCAGAGTCCCAATGCATCCATGGGATCTTAATTTAATACTTCATTCTCTTACCAGACTTATGTTTGAAACCTGGGCTACATGTTCACTATTACACCTTCCAATGAAAGTAGCCTTCCTTGTTGCCATCACATCCACAAGACACATAGGAGAACTTGGGGCCCTCATGGCATACCCCCCATACATGATCTTTTTCAAGAACAAGATCACTCTAAGACCACATCCTAAATTTCTACCTAAAATACCCTCTTTGTTCCACCTCAACCAACCCATCCATCTTCCCACATTCTTCCCTAAAACCCGTAAGAACAGGCAAGAAGTGGCACTCCATATTCTAGATGTCAGAAGGGCATTAGTCATTTATCTCAAATGGACTAAACCCGTTCAGGAAGGCACCAAAACTATTTATCTTGAATACAGAGAGATCTAAAGGAGATGCTATATCTAAGCAAAGACTTTGAAAATGGATTTCAGAGTGCATTCATTTCTGCTACCGCCAGCATGAACTGTAACCCCCCACAACAGGTCGCTCTCCATATCGGTATCCTTCCTTAATAATGTGCCTGTGGCAGGGTGGACTAGGTCCGGAGGCCCCCTGCTGGAGGCCACGTGGCCCTGCATCACAATGCCCCAGAATAGAGCAGAGAGAAGTCCTCCAGACAGCCTAGAGTGGCTGCAGAGGAGCAGCCAATCAGATGGGCTGATGGAGCAGCCAGTCTGGGGCCAGAAGGGCCCTATATAAGACAAGCAGCAGAGCAGAGAAGTTCAGTTGCTATATGGAGCTCAAGGAGTGAAGACTGGGTGACTGTCTGGCTGGAAGAGCAGCAGTACCACGGACAGCTCACTGTGGAGAGCTCATCACAGACAGGACTGAAGCCCCGGGAAGGCTGCTGAAGACCGGGTGCCTGGCTGGCGGGAAGAGCAGCAGGACCAGTGGAAGGTCAGTGCGGGCAGGCTGAAGCCCAGGGGGACTGAGCACAGAACCTGGCCAGGCCAGTGACGGTACCAAGATGGGCCCCACTGGTCTGGTTGAAGACTGAGCCCAGGGAGGCCTGCTGAAACACCACCAGCTGTGGGTACTGAGATGGGCCCCATCTGGGTGGTTCAAGAATGCAGTGCTTCTGGGAGAAGCATTAGAGCTAGGGCCCCATACCAGGGCCAAGATAAGAACTTGGATTGTATATCCCGGAAGGGGGGAAAGTGTATGCAGCTCCGTCAGAGGGATGAGTTGCTGAAGACTTGCCAAGAGAACCATCAGCCGGGATGGAGAGGAGTGCTCACGAGAGGTGCGTGCCACCCTGGTATAAGAACTAAAACCAAAAGCAGGCTCACACTCAACCAACCAAAGGGGGCTGCCTGTGAGAGGCAGGTGCCGCCCCCAAAAAGACTGTAATTGCAGATATATCAGCCAGAGAAAAGCGGGTGCTCGCAAGAGGTGGGTGCTAACCCTGTTACAGTGCCTATTACAGACACATGTAAAGCAGCCACTTGGGCATCAGATCACACATTCATTCAGCACTATGCAATCAAGCAAGACTCGACATCAGACACTTTATTAGTACTCATGGCCCTATCATCGATCACAGATCCAACTCCATAGCCCCTTCCTTCCACTGAGGGACACTTCTCTACAGTCACCTGAAGTGGAGCACCCACAGGAACATCACTCGAAGAAGAAGAGAAGGTTACTCACCGTGTGCAGTAACTGAGGTTCTTCAAGATGTGTGTCTTGGTGGGTGCTCCACTGCCCACTGTCCTCCCCTCTATTTCAGAGTTCTCTCAAGATCCTCTGCAGTAGAGAAGGAACTGAGCGGGGTTGGCCACACAGCACTAGTTAATCACCGCTACAGGTGCGAGACTGGGAGAGCTCATGGGCAGCCCAACTGGGTATTGCTATTGAAATTCTCCGACTAGAGGTGTAGGGGTGCACAATCACCTGAAGTGGAGCACCCACAGGGACACATCTTGAAGAACCTCAGTTACTACACAAGGTGAGTAACCTTCTCTTTCTTAGTGATTTCAAATATACTTTAAATGCTGTTATATATAACATTATTCCTAATGCATTTATAAAAATAAAATGTATTTTAAGACTATTAAAACCCTTTAGCATTATTGATCATGTTGCAGTTTTGCAAATTATTACTCTCAACTTGTATGAGTAATTTTTTATGGGTTGCTAAAATATCGTTAGTTTTCTTTTCTCCATTATCAGAACATCATGGAAAGCGGTGAGTAGATTTTGTGGCTGAGCTGATATATTTTCATGACAAATTCATAAGGCTGTCTGAATTCATACCTTATTGATGCATAATAAGCCTTCTTTACATTAAATAATTTTTAAATGTTTAGTTTAAGTGCTGTAAATTGAAGGTCAGTGGAAACTGGTGCAAATTACTGGCTTTGAAGCATACAGTTGGGTCTTTGATCAGGCCTGATGTTTGAAGTCTGAGTGATTAATCCCTCCCTCTCAGCAAAGGCATGGAGCTAAGCAGCAAAATTTAGACCCAGATTTTGAAAGGTATGCAGGTGTTGCGCTCAGCATTGCAACACCTATCTGATTTAGGAGCCCATATATCATTTTCAAAAGAGATTTAGACACTTAGGAGCTGAAAGGATTTAGGCTCCTAAATGCTTAAATAACTTGTGAAAATTAAACTTAGGCTCTTCAATCACCTAGGTGTTGCAATGCTGAGTGCAGCAATGCCTAAATAGCTTTAAAGATCTGGGCTTCAGTGTTTAAGTCAGTTGCCAGGTGAACAGGAGCAGCAAACAAGTTTCAGATGGAGTGAGAGGATTTTTTTACTAGGTATAGTTCTACTCTCAATACTGTGATGGCCAGTTATGGAACAGTGGTTGTGACTTGCAATAGATTTGTCATGTTCTTTCCTGCTGGAAACCAGAAGGAATTTCCTCTGTATTAAATGTGAGCTGGTGGCTTTGCTGGAAGAAAAGATTATAGTCTGGAAGGACAAGTACATTCACTATGGCGCATCAGAGAGGCTGAAGAGTTGTTAGACAATCTGATTTAGGAAACATCACCCCCACAGATTCAAGAAAGGAAGGAACTGGCCACCAAGGCACCTGAGAGAGTGGGAACTAGAGGGGAGTCTTGGCAGTTTTTAACCACCAGAGGCAAGAGGACTAGGTGGCATTCTACATTGATGGAAATAAAAGAGGATGGGAAGACTGTGACCACCAAACTGGAGAGAACCGGGAGGAATTCCATACAGGTAGAAGTATCCAATCATTATCATGTTCTTAGCATGGAAACTGCAGAAAATATATCTGAAGTTCCAGCTTGTCGAATTGCAGAGAAAGCTGTATGGAACATACCTGTGTGTGGCTGTTAAGCCCAACATGCAAGATAAGCATGCCCACAAAGAGATCTCCAGCTGTCCAAGGAAGACAGACTGTTCTTGCTGTGGATTTTATATTAAAAAGAATGAAGAAAGAATATTCTCCAAGGAGCAGGTAGACAATAGGATAATGTGCTTATCTTCCTGGACCCAAGAATGAAACATCATTCTAAGATTAGAGAGGCTTTTGATGTTGATGGGCAAGAATAAATTGGTGATGGTGCATATTGGCACTAATGACTTCAGGGAGCTTGAAAGAATGTTGAAGGCGAAAAATGTCCACATAATCTTCTCAGCGATTTTTCCTGAACTGTGAGCAAAGGAAGACAAAAACCAGAAGTTTCTGGAACTGAACCACTGGCTAGGTACTGTGGTTCTTCGAGATGTGCTGTCCACACATATTCCATGGCCCAGCCTCCTTCCCTGCTACTGTGGTGTCTTATAACATCTGGAATCTGTATTGATGAAGGAACTGAGTGTGGTTGGGCTTGGTCCACCCTTTATGCCTTTGCTACAGGTCATGAGTAGATTTGGTGCATACATGTCTCCAACAGTCACTATGGGCCCAAATATTCTGATCTTAAATTTGTGGGGCGCATGATCACCAAGAGTGGAATATGAATGGACAACACATGAAGAACCACACTTACTGTAAGGTAAGTTACTGTTTCTTGTTTTTAGCTCTAGTAAAGTCTGTATTTATGGAGCCTATTATTGAAAGTGTCAGTCTTGCCTCTAATTGTACTAGGGGTATGGTCACTTCTGGGCTGAGTCAGAAGTTTTGTAGCTTTAAACATGCAGAGCTACAGTATGTTCCTCTATAGGGTATATACAGTATCTTTCTTAGGCCTGGTCTACACTACAGGGTTAGGTCGAATTTAACCGTGTTAGGTCGATTTAAAAATGAATGCGTCCACAAAACCAACCCCGTTCTGTCGACCTGAAGGGCTCTTAAAATTGACTCCTCCCTGGCGAGAGGAATAGTGCTAAATCAACTTTGCTGGGTCGAATTTGGGGTAGTGCAGACGCAAATCGACAATATTGGCCTCTGGGAGCTATCCCAGAGTTCTCCATTGTGACCGCTCTGGACAGCGCTTTGAACTCCGATGCACTAGCCAGGTACACAGGAAAAGCCCTGGGAACTTTTGAATTTCATTTCTTGCTTGGTCAGCGTGGCGAACTCAGCAGCACAGGTGACCATGCAGTCCCCCCAGAATCATAGAGCATAGAATGTTTCTACGCTCCCCCTATCATCTCCGTCCCTGAGGTTATCGCAGATCAGAAGGTGAAAAAAATGCACTTGTGATGACATGATTTCCGAGCTCATGCAGTCCTCCTGCATTGATAGGGCACAGCTTAATGCATGGAGGCATTCAGTGACGGAGGCTAGGAAAGAATTAAGTGAGTGCGAAGAGTGGAGGCAGGATGTGATGCTAAGGCTAATGGGGGAGCAAACGGACATGATCAAGCGTCTGTTGGAGTTGTAGGAAAGCCAACAAGAGTACAGACCCCCGCCTGCATCCACTGTATAACCGCCTACCCTCCTCCCCATGTTCCACAGCCTCCTCACCCAGACGCCCAAGAATGCAGGGCGGGAGGCTCTGGGCACCCAGCCACTCCATTGCAGAGGATGGCCCAAGCAACAGAAGGCTGTCATTCAAACAGTTTGATTTTTAGTGTGGCTACAATAAGCAATGTGGCCTTGTCCTTCCCTCCTCCCTCACCCCACCTGTGCTACCTTGTCCGTTATCTCATTTAAAAAAAATTAATAAAGAAAGAATGCATGGTTTCAAAACAATAGTTACTTTATTTCGAAGTCGGAAGGGTGGTTGGCTTACAGGGAATTAAAATCAACAAAGGGGGCGGGTTTGCAGAAAGGAGAAACACACACAACTGTCACACCGAAGCCTGGCCAGTCATGAAACAGGTTTTCAAAGCCTCTCTGATGCGCAGCGCACCTTGCTATGCTCTTCTAATTGCCCTGGTGTCTGGCAAGAAATGATTGTCTGCCGTTGCTTTCACGGAGGGAGGGGCGACTAACGACATGTACCCAAAACCACCTTTGACAATGTATTTGCCCCATCAGGCATTGGGAGCTTAACCCAGAATTCCAATGGGTGGCAGAGACTGCGGGAACTGTGGGATAGCTACCCACAGTGCACTGCTCCGTACGTTGATGCTAGCCACGGTAGTGAGGATGCACTCCACCGAATTAATGCGCTTAGTGTGGACATACGCAATCGACTGTACAAAATCGATTTCTAAAAATCGACTTCTATAAAATCGACCTAATTTCGTAGTGTAGACATACCCTTAGATGACAGAGGTTTGATGTTTTGGTTCAACTGATGCTGCCTTTGGTTGCTCAGTGAAAGGTTCCTCATTAATCCCACTTTTCTGTTAAAAGCAGCTAAAAAGTGTTAAGTTATACCAATATAGACCATCTTTCATTAGTCAAAGGAAAATAAAATGTTGACATGTCCATCGTATTCCTTTGATTTGATTGGTTCTGGTCTATGCCACTGGGTCTGATTTAGTCTAACTAATAGCATTTCAGGTTCACTTTAACTAAATTTGTTCCTTGTTAATGTTTTTTCTTGCACACTGTATATAAGTGATCTCTAATGGCTCTGTCACCAAGGATTGCTGAAGGAGGGAAAGCCATAGGGAAGTGGATCCATCAGCTGTATGTCTGCTTTGTGTCAGTGGTGTGGTGCTAAGTAGCCTGTGTGTGGCCCAAGATTTGGTCCATTATCATGAGGCAGCTGAGTTAAGGTTGTGTGGGCAACCTTAACTTTGGCATTTGTTGACTTGAGTACTTTATTATGCAACTTTCTTTTAATGTATTTTTTTGATTATCTATATTACAGATGTAGATTTTATTGTTTTCTGGATATCTGTAGTATGAATATATGACTTCCTGAAATCAATAAACTATCTGGGCATACAAGGTACAGTATATTTTGCAGCAAAATGGAAGTATGCATTTGGAAGATGTACCTGGTATATCCAGCATCAACTAAGTGGTTCATAAAATACTGACTTTAGTTTGTAAGTAAGGGTAGGTCTACACTACCCGGTAGTTTGGTGGCAAGCAAATGGAATTTCTGGGTTCGACTTATCACGTCTTGTCTGGACGAGATAAGTCGAACCCGGAAGTGCTCGCCGTCGACTGCGGTACTCCAGCTCGGCGAGAGGAGTACCGCGAAGTCGACGGGGGAGCCTGCCTGCCGCGTCTGGACAGAGGTAGGTTCGAACTAAGGTACTTCGAACTTCAGCTACGGTATTCACGTAGCTGAAGTTGCGTACCTTAGTTCGAATTGGGGGGTTAGTGTAGACCTGCCCTAAGATTTTAAAATGTTTTAGTTTTACTTATTCAACAATGATTTTTTTCTTTTAATTTTCTACTTTTGCAAGCATGCATCTCTTGTAAGATAATTCTAAGGTTTTGTTTTATTTTAACAGTTCAAGAAGAAAAATAACGTATCAGTCAGAACTGCAGATTATATGCAAAAACACCCGTAAAATTGAAGAGCAAATAAGAAAAGTGAATAAAGAGCTATATAATATTGAAATAGCTTATGGTGAAGGAAAAATAAAACTGGAGGAATTAGAAGAAAAAATAATTAGAGAAAAAATCCGGTACAAGGTTGTATATGATATTATTTTATTTAAATTATTTTTAAGATGTGGAAAAATTGGATAGAAGAGAATGCTATTTGTAACATAGTCCTGATTTAATTAATTTCTTTAGATGTGGCCTTATTATAGGCAGAGTTGGCAGCAATTCCTATAGTAAAGTTTGACTAACACTTTTCATTCAAGACCATTTTTCAGTTGCTTATAACTTTTCAGACTTTAATTTTATGGGCTGAAATGTTCCATGCCAGGCGGCTGCCTCTGTCTGGAGTTTTTTGCAAAGTTTCAGCAAGGTTGGTACATCTGTTACCGGGAATGAGGTTAGGAAAAAATTCCATTGTTTTGCCAATGTTAAAATCATACAACGATTTCACTGAGAAATTCTAGAACCTCCATCCTTTGGATTAGGGATTTGACATTTGCAAGGAGGTTGCTCTGGCCTTTTTGCTGTTCCTGTGAAAATCCACCCACATTTGGCTGAATTACAAGCCACTGAAAATGCCATTTGAACATTTTTTCGAGGCTGACAGTAAAAGTCTCCAAGCATGCTCCACCCCCAAAGAGCTCAGTGCGAATAACAAGGGGCACACTCCACTCCTGCAGAACTCACTGTGCACTCTAGTATGGGGCAGCATAGGAGAAAAATTAGCATGTGCTCAGCACACACCAGGAACCAAGCTGCCCCCTCCCCTCCCTCGCCCCCTGCCCCTCTCCCCCACTGGCGGCTCCGCTGATCACTCCTCCCCTTCTCTCCCAGTGCCTCCCGAGTCCCACCCGCCATGCATAGCTGTTTCACAGCATGCAGGTCGGCTTTGGCAGGGAGGGGGAGGAGTGGGACGTGGTGCGCTTGGGAGAGGGGGCGGGAAGAGGTGGGGCAGAGGGGAGGGGGGTCGAGCAGAGTGGATGCTGCTGTGGCACCAGGCACAGAAGTGAGAGCAGTGAGACTCTTATGTTTTCAGTGCTCTGCTGGCACCTAGACAATATAAAGGACATTGATATAGCCTGACTGGAATGCAGACAGATGAGTAGCAAAATGGGAGGGAGGGACAAATACAGACTGTCACAGGATTACAAAGCTAGGTGTGGGGATAGGAAAAGGGGGAACAGGACAGGATGCTGGGAGGGGAAGGGACAGGAACAGAATGGGGAAAGGTGTAATAGGGGAAAGAACATGGTGGACAGAGACAGATGGATACAAGGGCAGAAAATGTCAGGCTGGAGGAAACAGGAGCAGAAGGGTCTAACCACTAGAAAACACTTCTGTCCAGAGCTCAGAGCAGAATTCAGGATTCCTGAGTTTCAACCTTTATGCTGTTAGGATATATTATTGAAACATGATGGCAAGGTTGTGTCTCATCCCCCTTTTAGTGATTGGTCCACAGAGAGGATATCATAGGCCCATACCTATTACTACACCCTTCCTCAAGGTGATCTTCCCAAACAGGGTTTCAAGTACTATCTTTCTGCCAATGACTCCCAAATCTCTGTCTCCACTTCTGAATTATCTTCCTCTATTCAACCCTGTATTTCAATGTTATTGTGTAACCATCTCCTCCAGGATATTTTACAGTTCATTAAAATTTAACATAGTTACAGCTGAATTTCTCAGTTTTCATCTCACCTTTTTCTACTTCCCTCCCTTTTTCTGTCACTATTGACAAACATTGCTATCCTTGTCACACAGGCACACAACTAGGTGTCATTTTGACTCACTCTTGCCATACATATGCAAACTGTTCCAAATCTTGCTGCTGCTGCTTCCATAATATTTCTAAGATCCTCTTTTCTCTATGATGTAGCTAAAACTCTTACTCTTGTTGTTGTTGTTGTTTTCATATGTATATATGTGTACATACTAGATATTAAATTTATTGCCAAACAGTTCTCAGAAACAGATAATGTCCTTTCTCAACTGCAGTGACTGAACTAACCATTAAGGATAAGTTGGTCATGCATTATTATAGCTACCCACGTGTGACTAGTGTAAGATGCAACAAGTACTTGTCCCGTCTAATCTTTGTTTCAGTTTATCATGTACGGAGGTGTAATTATATTTCCTGAATTAGGACAATATCCACTTTCTTAAGAAATGAGAGAAGATTCTTACATTTTATGGAATGAATAATGTCCTTAATAGTGCATGTACAGAATATTAAAGAATGCAGAAGCGCTGAGTTGTGAGGATGTACTTTGCTTAATGTTTTGTTCTGAAGAAATTTGTGACTAAATAGTCTTTTCTGCATTTAATGTTACTTACTAGGAGATCCTCTGCCAATAAATTATTGGCATTCCGGCTGTTGTCGTCTGAGTAATTAAATGAAATTTCCAAATTTAACAATATACTTAAACAAATTAAAACCATATACAATATACTGCTGAGGAAAAAGTAAATAGACTGATTTGTTCTCTATTTACTTGTGGCAATTTAACTAAGGTGCAGTTATTTCAAATTATCACAAAGCAAATATCCTCAACTATACAATAATACTCTTATTCCCAGCTGATTTAAAACGATAAAACAACAGATAGCACTCTCCCACCCTCCAATACTCTTATATTTCTAGGAAAGCTGTTAAAGCTCTATAAAACTTGCTTATTGTATTTAACATTAAATGTAATCTTTGCAAAATCTGAATTATGTCATTTGAACCTTGTGAATTGGTTGTCGTTAGTAAGGGAAGCTGTACCCTTGACAAAGAGTTGGAACTCATAATTGGCAAGGGGGAGGTAGGACCTGCTGCCATTGCCTAGACCCAGGCTGTCCCTTTGCAACCCCAGTACCTGGTTTAGGCCCTGCACAAGGCCCTGCAGCCTTGGGGGGTTGTCAGGCTGGAGCTCCCCAGCCCCTCTTGCCTTTCCCCCAGCGCTGCCCTACCTCAGGTCCCTGCTCAGCTCCCAGGCAACTAGGTCCTTCCCTCTCAAAAGCTAGAGAGGGAGTCTCCTAAGCTCTGGGCTCACTGGCCTTTTATACGGCCAGCTGCAACCTGATGTGGCTGCCTTCCCCATCAGCCTAGCCACTTCCCATAGACCCAGCCCTCTCCCAGGGCTGGCTTTAACCCTTTCCAGGCCAGAACGGGTGATCACCCTGCTACAGGTGACCATATTTCCCAAAGAGAAAACGGGACACCCCCAGCCGCTTGCCCAAGCTGCATCCTCCCCCCCGTTGTTGCTGGAATCCTGTGGGGGCCCCACATGCTGGAACGCTGCTCCCCCCAAGTCCTGCCTCCCCCCTTCAAGGGGCTGGCATCTTGCTCATCCCCTCCACACCGCATCCCACTTTTTTGACAAAAGTGGATATTTGTTGTGTTTGCTGTTGCCAACTGATCAAGTCAGCAAGAGCAAATGGGATAAATGCCTCCTTTTGGAGAAAAAGTTGAAACAGGGCTTAAAGAAGGGACTGTTGTGGGACATATGATACCCTAATTCAGGCCAGTTCTCTGGACCATCCGTTTTCTGTGATTCACTTCATGTGCAACCTCCTACAGTCTCTGGCACTGATAATTAACTGAGAGAAATCTTCTCTAAGATCTATATCATAGAATCATAGGACCGGAAGGGACCTCGAGAGGTCATCTAATCCAGTCCCCTGCACTCATGGCAGGACTAAGTATTATCTAGATCATCCCTGACAAGTGTTTGTCTACCCTGCTCTGAAAAATCTCCAATGATGGAGATTCCACAGCCTCCCTAGGCAATTTATTCCAGTGCTTAACCAGCCTGACAGGAAGTTTTTCCTAATGTCCAACTTAAATCTCCCTTGCTGCAATTTAAGCCCATTGCTTCAGAGGTTAAGAAGAACAATTTTCTCCCTCCTCCCTGTAACAACCTTTTATGTACTTGAAAACTGTTATCATGTCCCCTCTCACTCTTCTCTTTTCCAGACTAAACAAACCCAATTTTTTCAATCTTCCCTCATATGTCATGTTTTCTAGACTTTTAATCATTTTTGTTGTTCTTCTCTGGACTTTCTCCAATTTGTCCACATCTTTCCTGAAATGTGGCACCCAGAACTGGACACAATACTCCAGTTGAGGCCTAATTAGCGCAGAAGAAAGAATTCTTGTGTCTTGCTTACAACACTCCTGCTAATACATCCCAGAATGATATTTGCTTTTTTTGCAACAGTGTTAGCTTGTGGTCCACTCTGACCCCTCCAGACCTCTTTCCACAGTACTCCTTCCTAGGCAGTCATTTCCCATTTTGTATGTGTGCAACTGATTGTTCCTTCCTAAGTGGAGTACTTTGCATTTGTCCTTATTGCATTTCATCCTATTTCCTTCAGACCATTTCTCCAGTTTGTCCAGAACATTTTGAATTATAATTCTATCCTCCAAAGCACTTGCAACCCCTCCCAGCTTGGTATAATCCACAGACTTTATTAGTGTACTCTCTATGCCATTATCTAAATCATTGATGAAGATATTGAACAGAACCGGACCAAAAACTAATCCCTGAGGGACCCCACTTGTTATGCCCTTCTCGCATAAATGTGAACCACTGATAACTACTCTCTTGGAACGGTTATGTAGGATCACTTTTATCTGAGCAGTTCTAGACTGCTTTCAAGCCAAGGTGTTTCTCCCAGAGGAGATATTCCAAAAGATGTGAGATTTCTTGATAACCCACAGTAAAAAAAAAAAAAAATAGTAAAAACCATGCAGTTTTTCTTAAACTGATGTCCATATAGACCTTTATCACATCTTTCGCTTTGACTGTGAATAGGGTGACCAGACAGCAAGTGTGAAAAATAGGGACAGGGGTGCGGGGTAATAGGAGCCTATACAAGAAAAAGACCCAAAAATCGGGATTGTCCTTATAAAATCGGGACATCTGGTTACCCTAACTGTGAATGAGACCCTTATAACAATGGGTAGTGTCTGATGGCACACCTAATTCCCCTCATCCCAGGCCCCAACCCAGAGCCTGCACCCCCAGGCCAGAGCCCTGACCCCCTCCTGGACTGAGCCGTCTCCTCAAAACCCAGAACCACCTCCTGCATCCCAAACCCCT